AAAAAAAAAGAAAGAAAGAAAAAGAATTGACAGGAGAGAGTTAAAGCAAAGGCTTGAGACAGGAATGGTAAGAATGGGACAGAGGCAGAAAAGACAAAAAGCAGATTGAACTGTCACGCTCAAATTGAAAGGGAGAGTGTTTCTTTTAAATCCAGTGGTCAAACTAACAAAGTGTTCATAAGGCGGCTACCAGAGCTGGACAGACAGATGCTTTTAATGGCTAAACTACCATCCAAGCTCTTAGTGCCTTCCAAACACAGACAGAGTGGCACACATGTGCGCTGACACACAGTCGCTCACACACACACGACAAAGATTGGTTTTATCAGAGTGTTTATTTGAGGAAATGTGACGCTAATGAGCAGAAATGCACAGCACATATGAGAGCGGATATTGCAGCTCCATAGCACCATCAACTGGAAAAGACCCACAGAATGCAACAACCCATGCTGCTGTGGAGATTTAACTCAGCCTGGGGTATATTTCTTTTAAGCCAATGGGAATGCAAAGCCACGTGTGTGCCAGTGTGAACTCTGATGTTTGCGGGTGCGTTACCTCGGGTCTAAGTGTCGCCCTGCTGCAGGCAGGGCAGATGGGTCCATGCCGGGAGAAGGCGATGGGCAAACGTCTGGTCCTGTTCTGACAGGCCTGGTCCTCGCACACCAACCAGCCCTATGACACATGAAACTGGCTTAGTTCGGCCAGCTGTGAAACAGCTGCAAACACACAAAGTTTTCCAAATGTTGCGATTTGTTGCTTGTTAGTTAAATTTTTTGTGAGGTTTTTGGATGAAAATCTCAACTTGCTGCTTTGACAGAGAGAAAAACACAAAGGAAAAACAAAACAAAACCAACATTTTTTTTTAAAAAGTTTTAAATAAGTTTTAAAATACTTCATTCAATTTTTAAGGCATTTATTATACTCTGAAGTTCTGCTACTGCAACAGTGATTAGAAATCATGTTTAAAGGATTCTTGATGAAAACACATGAATTAATGTACATTTCCATCAAACAGATGAACACAGAAAACACATTCAAAGCATCCAATGTCATTACTCGTTTATAAAACGTGTTGATTTACCACTTTGTTGCTAAAGGTGTTCTTAAAAAATTGGGGAGAAGAAAAAAAACTTGTTGTCTTGTGGTGCTTTTAAAAACTGTTTCTGGTAATGAGGAAATTTTGCTGAAAATTGTTGTTTCCATTTAGCTGCTCTAATTTTGCACAACAATCTGACAAGAAACGCACTGCAAATAGGATTTGTAAAATGCAACAAAAAAACTGCATGAAATAAAAAGAAGTTTACTGACTTCGCATACTGCCTTTTCATGTTTCCTTTTATTTACATTTTGATGTATCTTCAGCTGCTGTGTGTCAGGGTCCTGCTCTGTCATACAGGCAGAGCAGCAGACAGCCAAAACGGCAGTAGTTAGGACCTCCTGGAGTGAGGTAGTGACCCTGGGCAGGTGCTGTGGGCTAACCCTCTCAATCTCCCCATATTCTTCCAGATCACTCCTCCCCTTTCTGCTTCTTATGCCCTGTCATTACTAAAAGACGGTTTAAAGGGGAGGGGGTTAATGCCCAACTAATGACAGAGCATAAGACCCACCGCCATCAAGGCCTTTGCTCCTTTCCTACATCCAGCTAGCCTTCGTTCTCCCCATTCAGTCAAAATAAACCCCTTCAAAACTGCTGCACCTGTCTGCCTATCAATACCACCCCCCCTTCACCCACCACACACACACACACGGTAGCTCTGATTGATTTTTAGGTCCGCCTTTGTCTTCTAATCAGTTTTGAAAAGCAGCAACCAAAAGAAATGGTGAGGATTATTTTCTTTACAGCTGATTTAACCCTATATGATTATTAAAAGGACCCCTGTATTGGTCCTTTTAATAATCTGTCAGATTTTTTTTAAGGTTATTATAAAAAGCATGTTTGATTTTAAGGATGCATCTCTCCTGCAAAATCTTTACGATGTTTCTATAGTAAACCATCAGTGAACAATACTGTAATGGTAAATGGACTGGTACTTACATAGAGCTTTTCTACTCTAACTGAGCAGTTAATCCAGTTATTACTTCACATTTACCCATTTACACCCACACATACACTTCCTATTAGGGCTGCCACAAACGATTATTTTGATAGT